CTTTCCTGGGCAGGCAGGTGCAATGAGATGGAAATGACGGGATGGAGTGATGAAATGATGGCCGTCTCACATTAGACGTCTCCTCCTCTGAACCTCGATCAACAAGCACGGCCATCGACTGAGCAACAAGACAACCAGACTCAGCTGGGGTTCATCGTCAGCAGCGCAAAATCGATATTCGTTTCTTCTCCCTCGTTGCCGCTCGGAAAAGAAGAGGTACCTCCCACATGTGGTCGCGAGGGCCCCAGTGGATGACGAAAAGGAACAGCGCGGCCAAGCGGCCAACTCAAACGCCATGGCCGTGGTTGGCCCTCCTTCGGCCCCATGGCCCCAGGGCACCAGGGCCCCATGGCCCCATCCTTGCGCCCCCTCCTCCTCGTCCTTCCACATGCTCCCAGGCGTCCAAGGCGTCCCCTCGCTGGCGGCAGATGCGAAATTTTCCCAGGAGTGCGGGTGGGTTGCTGCCCACTGCCGGGTACGCTACCTGAATCGGCACCTCAGTGTCACACTGCCATGCCCCCGGTCAGATCCCGGCCGCCTTGTCCGTGCTGTTCGGGATTAAATATCAAACGTCTTGCTGCTCGTCCTCCTCCACCTTCGGCCTGCTCCTCTCCTCACCATCGTCTTGCTTCGCTACGTCCACATTCTCTTCCCTCAAGCTTCGCCGCTGCTGTCGCTTTGACTCGTGCCTTGCTGCACATTACCTTCCTTCACAACACTTCGACGTACAGAGCCTGTCCACCGCCCTTCTTCGACTTGCTTCAGATCTCACATCGCTGGTCGCTAACCATTCACTTACTCCACACCAACAACAAACAAGCACCAACACCGTCAACATGCGCTTCACTGCCCTCTTTGCCGTCATGGCCGCCAGCGCCGCCGCTGCGCAGGAGTACGAAGTCCCCGGCGAGGAGACCACCACTCTCACCGCTACCACCACTCACACCATCACCATCACCGAGTGCGCTCCCGACTACGCCGACTGCCCCCTCAACAAGCCCACCACCACCACCACCGTTGTTGAGGTCCCTCCCACCACCTCGGAGGTCATCATCCCCACGTCTGAGCCCGTCTACGAGACTCCCATCATCGAGACCCCCTCGCTGTCTCCCGTCCCTCCTCCTGTCGAGCCTCCCGTCGAGACCTCGTCGTCTATCCCCCACTACCCCGTCTCCAACTCGACGACTCATGCCGGCCCCACCGCTCCTCACACCACCACTCTCCTCCCCGTTCCTTCCACCGTTTCTGGCAACCTTCCCATCGTCACCGAAACCGAGGCCGTCCCCGTTCCCACCACTCCCGGTGCTGCCGAGACCTCCGAGATCCCTCAGGCCGCCGCCGCCGGTGTCTTTGTCCAGGGCGGCCTCCTCGCCAGCATGGTCGCTCTTGGTCTTTTCGGCCTCTTTTAAGTGCACTCTGGCACACACGGTCTTTCTACTTCTTCACTTCTGGCCACAACCATTTACTTTTTTACCATACTTCTCGGGGGATAGTTTGATTGGAGACCATTTCATCATACCACTTTGATTATTTAGCTTGGGAACCTTTCTTTTTCGAGGATTTGATACCATTTGGGAGGTTCTGGTTCACCAGCTACTGGATGGCACATGGATAAGTCCCACCTTTTCTGGGCTTCACAGATGCTTGAACCTGGCGCAAATGGGCTAGCTTTATTTATGAACCAGTCGGGAGACCATTTAAAATTTTTCGCTTCCCCCGAAAGCTCTGATTAAGGGGATGCCCACTTATGAATGCCAAACCTTGGACGAAATAATTTTGGACTTTGTAGGATGACAAGACGTCGTTGTTCGTGGGCGCCGGGGAAGGTTGCAATGCCATGAGCATGCGTCAAAGGCTTAATAAATGCCATTGTTTGGCAAGCCATGCGTGCAAGAGCAAAACGGAGCTAACACAAATGCTTCTCTTGCTAGCCGTTTCAATCCACCTCTGACAGATCAGAACAACCCCCCCCCCCCCCCTCTCCCTTCTCGAGTTTCCAGACGTTCAAATGAATCTTCGGGAATGTAGCCAGCGCCAGCGCCAAGATGGCTCCTAAACGGTGCCCTGACTGTGGACAACGTCTTGTAGTGTCAGCCCTGGGTGATGCTCCTACCCGGAAACACGTGTCTGGAGCCCACATTCCACGGAGCGGCCCGGGGCAGGTACAACCCACAGGCACCTGCCACACCTGCTTGCTGGTGACGACTGCCTTATCACCAATGACCCCTCATCGCCAGCCAAGAAGGATTGCCTCGCCGTCTATGAATAATCTTCTCACGTTGGCATCCCGATGTTCTCTCCCGATGCACTCACATGGGTCAAAAGCCATGGCTCTGGTCTTTCAAGCCCGAACCGGAGATGACGCAAGCTCATAGTTTCCATCATCCGATCTTTACAGACGTTGTGTCCTCTTGTCGAAAGTCTGGCCCTTGGCACTTTATTTGCCACTGTCTATTCGTCCTAGCCCATGGAACCGCCACAACACCTTCAAACGATGCTCATCGCGAGGCTTTCTAGCCTCCCTGCTGCTTTGCTTCAGCCTCCACATAACGCCCTGTGTACGCGGCCCCCGGCCTGGTTAAGCGGCTATTCCACGTACCCTCAACCGTTACGCGCCGCCTCAGAACCCGGCGGAGCCGTACAATGACCCACAATCCCTCCGTCAGTCATTCTTCACATGCCTGATGCCTGTTCTAACGCTTCCAGACCCTCCGAAGAAAAGTCCGTCTCGTCCATCAACGAGCAGAAAAAAAAACCCCCCCATGGGAACTCTATGTCGTCCCTAGCCTGCGATCGAGAATGTAAGCTTTCCCGCACTGCCGGGGGGTTTGTGGACGGGGTTGACTCACGCGCAATACCCAGCTGCACACTGTGCACAGAGTGGTTGTGACGCTGGCACTTTTTGCTGACAGTGACAGGGGCTCTTGGTGGAGTGGTCGCATGTTTTGAGAGACATGTTGCCTCCGTGTGCGGCTCGCACTGGCGATATCTGGTGATCAGTGCAGAAAATGACACTTGTCGAGGGTCACTGGTGCGCCAATTCTCGCGGACGGCTGCTGAACGAGCACAAGTCGACGTGATTTGCTCGACCGCTGCTGCTTTGCGTTGAATCGTGAGAGGAGATATCGCGATCTTATCGGGGTTCAAGCTTAAGTTGGATGCTCGAGAATCTTTCGTGCGGCTACATTGAAGTCTGGGCTGACAATAGTAGATCAGAGCTCTGGCAGATTGACGGCGACCCAGCAGTCGACTGATCGCGAACAGAGCGACCTTCTTATACTACCCCAGGCCGTCCGGAGGCGCAGACAAGTTCGACCCGTCCGAGTCCTCCTGCAGGTAATCATGCCAGGGGTTTGTTATCCGCACGACGTCAAGATCCTACCTACGAATGGCTCGGCTGCATGCTTTCTGGGAATCGATACCCCCGTAGTTCGTGGCTCCGGCCGCCATCCCACTCTGATCGTCTTTGCAGGTCGGGATCTTGATGGCTCCCCCCCTTGCCATGTCACCCGCCGCGTGCCCATAGGGTCACGCTCCATACGTTACAAACTTTATTCGTCCTTGTCCGAAATTCCAATGGTCCCGAAAGCAACCTCACGGTATCCGCGCTCGCGGAAATCTTCTCTCCCTGTGCACGAAGTCCGTGAGACACATCAGCGACCTCCGTCCTCCGCCGTTCCGCCTTTCACAATGACTGGGCGGCGCGCCCCATGTACCGTGGCTTTCACGTCGTACGGAGAATGGAACCTCGACAGGCACTTGGGACAGCCTTTCTGCGCGTCTCTAGGTATGAGGTGCATGTGTGGACCAGAGCACACACCTAGGCGCATGGCATCCTAGCCACGACTAAAACAGACGGATGATGTGAGCGTCTCCTTGCTTCAAGTCGACAGGATGAAGGTTTGCATACTGCCAACGGGCCTGCCGCGTTTACCCTCTCGGGAATTTTCTTCGTGAGAAGACGGTCCTGTCATTTCCAGCCCCTGTGGTCTATGTCAACCCTTTCGATAATAGGTCTCGCTTAGTCGGTCTTGATCCAGAGCCCACAAAGGTGGTGGTTTTGAGCCCACCGTCGACAACGTTGATCATAGTCACAGTGTGTAGCCCATGTGGTGCCAACCGCGGCTGAACCCTGACTGGCACACAACATGTGCACCCATGTTGGGTGCCGTCTGATCCTCATCGCACTGGACCTAGCGTCTCGTACATTGCTTTGACGAAGAAATTGACGAACGCGCAACTGCCTTGGATGTTCTCACGGCCAAGGCTACAAGGCTCCAAGTTTGGTGGCCACTGATGTACCCTAAACCCAAAAAGGCACGAACCCCTGGACAATGCCTCGCGGAAGACTCTGCATTTGGTGCCCAAGCCTTGCCCGCGGCGGATGAGCTGTACAAGGCCGCAGCCGAGATCCACGGCTGCGTGTCATCGATCTGGGGGCGTTCGCCGAACGCAACGGATTTTACCTGAAGCTACTTTCGAAACCGCTCCGTTGCACCCCCACAGCAAGGCGAACCTGTCGATGTTATTCGGGGTTGATCAGCTGAAAAACATGGGTTTGTAACAAGCCACCGACGAGCAACCCTGTCTGGGCCTTGCAATGCGCGCGGATGGGCTTTTGAGCAGTTCCCAACCGACTGCAGTCTATTTCGCTCTGTACTCGGGGTCCCCGGGCAGGGGAGGGGACAATAACAAGCCTCCACCAAGATGGGACGAAGTCGGCCTGGGTTGATCAACTCGTAGCAACCCACACTCACCATAGTTGTACACGCGTTGACGATCCGCAGGCGAGGCAGTGCTGTCACCGAGCAGACCGAGACCGCTGTCGCCGTGCAAGCCTCCTGGCTGCCGGTCTTGCCTAAAGAAACGACCTCCGTCCGCGAGGCTGCTGGCTGGATGACCACACCATCTCTTCGGCGACCCATCTTCCGATCAAAGTGTCCTGGAAGCCAGGCTTGGCAACCGGGGCCCCAAGCTCATGATTTCGTCGCCAGTGCAAGTCTGATGGCAACTTGAAAGGCAAGAAAAATTGCTCGTATGACAGACGCCAGTTGCACGCCGAGGGCCCGGATTCCCTGAGAGGCTGGTCCGGCCGTTGACTGGGTCGCGCTCTTGATATTGACAAAGGCGAGTCATGGACTCGCTGTGTCGAAGAAACCCGGTGCACTCGGACCTGGAAGTCATGGAAAGGCAGCCGGGAAGCACGGCGGCGGGCAAGTTGTCGCCTGCCCCGCATGTCGTTTCCTCCTCGTGACCGTGGCGAGGCCTGGCCGCCCGCCCGCCCCGCTCGCTCCGGAGACGAAACACCCACGGCGCTGAAGGGGAGAGGGGGGGGGGGGGGGGGGGGGGGGGGGGGGGAAAAAAAAGGGGAAAATTCCCGGGGCCCCACAAAAAAAAGGTGGTGAACCCCCCGGGGGGGGGGTTGGGCTTTTTTCCCCCGCCCCCCCAGGGGGCCGCCCCCAACATTTGAAAAAATTAAGGGCCCCC